CACCTCCCAGCCCGGCAACTTTAGCTCCTTTGCGCATCTTTCCCACAATCTCTGCTTTCCCAAAGTCCACATCTGGATGTCAAGAGATCTTGGGAAAGGCTAAGTGGAGCACATCACAGATTTGTGGTAGCCAGTCTCCCTCATCTGTGCACACAAATTTTTTTACTTGACCAACATGTTGTCAAATCTGCTCAATGATTTTTCTATACTTTCACGGTTTTCTTCAAACACCACTCTATTCATAGCTCTTCACATTGAACAGACAACCTTGAAGATCTCTGCCATGGGACCCTTAAATATTCTACCACAAATACATATCTCTACCCTTACCCACATTTGTCATCTTTCCTCCAGTTTCAGAAGAAGTAGGCTTGCTAAGACATAGGGCATTCTGGGTAGTAATGTATGCCACCACAAAAAGAGCTCTATATTCATATCATATATCCAGCTTAAATAGCTGTCATTCATGAGGGATGTACGGAAAACAAAAGTACACTGATTTATATTTAACATCCTTTGAATCGGATGAGGCAACTCAACTTGAGTCATCAAGTTAAAAATAATCCTTGATCCTTCAAGCCTCTCTCCTTACACCCTCAATAATCCCCTTCTCAAATTGTATTTTTAGCCTCTCCATCTCAAAACTGGCTTCTTCTCTTTGTTGTTTCTTCCATCAAAAAAAAAATAATTCTTCTAAGGCCCACACCCACCCTAGGCATTTCCAGTGTTCGAAGTTCTACTTCGAACTTCTCCACAATGTCCATCGGTGACTCTCAACCTTCAATTCATTCTTCAACCCACAGTTTTATGGCATCTGCACCCACTACATAATGAGGTCATCCAGTAGCATTCTTTTTGCCAGGTCTTGTAGAGGTTTTTCAGCACTATTTCATGGGAATTCTCTGTTGCATTTGACAAAGTCACACCATACCTCTTCAAACATTTCATATTATATTGATTGTCGTATGATGACATAGTCCTTATTCTTTTCATACCTATCTGATCATTCTTCTCTATTTTCATCATGGCTTCCACTTGTTCCTAATGTTTCCCAGTCTACACTTTCTCCAAGACAGTTATGTCCTCTTCTTGTTTCATTTGTCATCAATATCCTGATGTTCATCAATATCCATATTTATCACCATAAACATCTCTTCCACACTCCCCAGCCCCTGCCAAACATCTCCTTCTGGATGTTCCAGACACACTTCAATTCAACATATCCTTAATAT